TTGAAAGAAAACCATATCTTGGTCAAAACTTACTGTGGAGCCACATATTATACTTTAATAAATTTAGTCACTGATCAACATAAATGGTTAAAACTATAGAATGTCTATTAATAAACAATTTATTCAGATGTAGGAGGACACACAGGTAGTGATAAGTAAATAATCTAAATCATTTTCTTTTCACCAAATTTCTAAGACAAGAAGTCACTACAGTATGTCCAAGATTTTAGATCAGAATCACCCAATCAAATCAAAAAGGACCACTTACTTAGTTTTATGCAAATAGCCTGCAAACTGGAAAGAGTAAAATACTGTAACTATTCTACATCTATGACATATAAGAATATTCTTGGTGGATGTGCAGTTCTGCTTGCTGCTCCTCCCCCACACCACAGGGAACTAGAACTTGGGATTCCTCAGCCTCAAGTATGCAAACACAGCAAGTGTGCAGTGCAACTGTGCATGTCCACAGAATCATAAATCCTCCTGTACAGGAAAAGACACCTCTGAAAAAGCATGCTACCAAAGCCTACCCAATTTCAAAATGACCTAAGAGGTAGATACTGTATGGCCCTAAAGCAGAAACAGCATTCTAAAAAGTCATAAAAATATTATAGCATCCATTCTGAAAATCTAAATACTGCAAAAAAAATTAATGGGATTAAATTTTTATTAATATTCATTTTCAGCCTCCATAAATCTGTTATTTTATGTGACACACAACATTTCTATCAAACATAAACATCAACCTCAAATTTAACAAATCTACACACAACCCAAACTGAAAGTGACACAAATGAAGTATTAGCCCCTTCTCCACAAAATATGGTTTAAAGCATACAGATTCAGGACCTGGGGAATGTCAGCTCCTGCAAAGCACTGGGAAACGCCTCTAGATCCAGGATAGGCAAAAAGCTAAGACAGCTTCCTATGCTAGTTTATCCAAATTTGCATCTCCAACTGGTTGCAAAACAAGGAGGAAAATTCCATGGACCCCGTAGCAAATTTTACATCAAACCACTCTAGTTGTAGGAGAAGACAGGGTTAAATCCACGAACCGATCATCTTCTCAATTTCCTGGTGAGGTCCATGAGAAAGAAACATAGAGAAATTACTGTTCCTATTACATCAGAGGTCATTTTTAAAGACAGGCTTAGCCCAAAATTATAAGGGAATAAAGTCTATTCATAAACAGAACTGATAACCCTTTTCTATTACACCTGTTTTCTTTAAAAGATGTCTGTGATAGTAAATCAAATGAGTTTAAATTGTCTTCCAATGCACTGTCTTATACTTTCAAAATCCATTCTCAAACCAAAATTAATGCTATTTTTATATGAGAAAAGACATTATTTTCTTCCATTCCAGTAAAGGAACACAGTATTTAGAGTTTAAGTACATCAGTAAAAGTATCTAAGTATGATCCAGATTATTTTTATATCCATAACACTTTTTTTTTCTGATACAATACGATGCTAAGAAAAACAGAACAAGTATAAAAAGCCTGGCCAAAAACATATTGTGAAATACAAACAAAACCAAAGGAAAAAAAAGGTTAATATTTTCCATTATAGAGCAAAAGAAAGAATATTTTCTTCCCTAAATACTTTAGTATTAATATAAACATAAATTTAAGTGATCACTTAGATTTGTTGACATTAAATAACAGAAAAAACTATCAAAATTAAGTAACATAAAAACCAATTAAGTCCCCAGTAAAAACAATTTTAAGCCAAAAATAATTTTATAGCATTTAACAGAAACTGCAGACATTTTGTTATGTTTTTCCTTCTTGTGTGTTTACTAACAGGACTTTTCTATGAAACACTGTTACTAAGTCCACCTAACTATACAGCAGCCATCCGTATCTTGGCAAATATTTATATTTAGGGCGCAAAAATGTTTTAAAAGAATTATAATAGCAGATAAAAACTTCATGGGGAGAGAAGCAGAGAGTGATCTTATGATACAATGTATCTTACATCTTAAGGTTATCGAAACAAGTTTGCAGCTGCCTGCTTTGTAAACCTGCTAATTACTTTTAATGGTAAATAAAGCTCTTTCTAAAATTATATTGTATATTTTATAAAATACAAAACACTATGAATGGAATTCAATACAAAACTGTTTATCATAAAATGTATGTATGCGAGGTGACTTCGGTATTTCTTTTGAAACTGCTCTATCAGAATACCTCAAAAAAATCCAGTAACAAACTGATTCATAAAATGTTTATTCAAGTCTCTTAATTTTCTAAAAAGACCCTTCCTCCTAAATGTGTGTACATTTTGTTCTCAATTACAAGAACATTTGCCACTCAAAATAATCCATTTCCTAAAATCAAAAATGAAACTAAATGTATTAAAAGCAAAAACCTCATCAATTTAACATGACTCAATAGTTATTTTATAACCTACAGCTCAATAATATTTTAGACAAATGACTGTTTCTAGTATAATTACCATAATAAATACTAAATAACTAACCTTCCAAAAAGTAAAAAAAAAAAAAAAAAAAAGCACATTCCACACGTTATCAGTAATGTACCTAAAGAGAAATCTGTGAATCTAGGTCGTATGTCCATCCTTTTTTTCCCCTCAAAGATAAAAAAAAGCTATTGCCAAGGGTCACATTGAGGACATAATGCATTCACTCTCATTCGAAGAAAACAAAATGCTTAAAATGATGGTACCATTAAATAATAATGTTCTAAAGTAATATAGACCTATATATCTGCCTCTAATATCAATCATTGGTAGTTTACAAAGACGGGAGTTTTAAACTGTCCATTTAAAAGCAAGCTGACAAAGAAAATCTTTTTTAAATCAATTACCGGAGCTTATTTCTCTTTAATTTTTTTGTATTCATCAAAAATAAAATAAGTTTTCTATTAAGAATAGGAAGACATTATCATTAAAAGTAAAACTCCATTAACTAAGAATTTGAAAGCATTAGATACCGCGCTGTTCAGCCTCGGATTCACATTATTATTTGTTAAATTCTTTCTTCACTGACAAGTCTCTCTAATACATGATTATTATTAAAGTACACCTTCCTAAAATAAATGAGCTAAATAAAAACACAAATACTGTATCCCTTCTAGCAGATTAGAATGTTTTGATTTTCATAGCATAGAGATGTATATGAAAGAAAAATTACTTTGAAGAAACACACCCAGTACAATTTGCCTTTAATATAGTTTTCCTAATCATTGTGTAAGGAGTTCAATAAAGGCTCACATTACCTCATCTAAGGGGAAAAGATTCTTGGGGGATTTCTATATTCTCCAAATAACAAACAAATATAAAATGATTTTAATATTTCAACGGAATAACCATTGTTTCCCTAATAACTGTTTTCTGCAGAAATTATAGATCTTTCTCATTTCGTGGTTTTCAAATATGTCAATTCCAACTAAAACTCATTCACAAGCATCTTAAAATAATCACAACTGTCAAAACACAAATCACTAGAAATATACAGTCTTAGTCTTGTTATAAAACTAGTTAAATATCACCAAAAGATATTGTTAAACAACAATTTTTAAATGTTTTAACGTTAAACTATGTGTTTAATTAAACTACGAGGCTGAAGCTCCAAAGTCTGTTGATACAATTCAAATTTTTCACAGGTGAATCTGTGAAGAGCAGACTTTTATAAAAGGTTTACAAATTCAAAAGGTGCATAATTTGTGACTTATTTTTCAATAGTCATATCTTCAACCTACAGTTAAAGACCATGACACACCTAATGTCCATATTGTAAGACTGTCATCAAAATCTGAGTTTTGTAAATGTCTAATACTGGACACCAACATAACGTTTTTTCTATATTTAATCCTCTTATTAATAACTGATTCATAACAATTTAAGCTCTAAATAATATTCAACCTCCCATCTACTTGTAAGAGAGTTCAGTTATTATTTGTGGCAAGAATTTTTGTGACTGTACTGCTCAGCACTTCTATTTACATCAGCAGTGCTAAATGCCCAATGGTGAGAGGGGAGCCAATCAGATGGCAGATTAGATGTCAACTCAGAGGCAGCTGTCTGGAGACTATTACAGCCAGTTTACCTCCACAATTCAAATTCCAAACCTTGCAAAGGAGATCAAGTCGGTCTTTAGGCTCAGCCTATTAGCAAGAAACAGACAGAGAGCAGAACACTTCCTAATAATGCCGAAGGACTTGGGTGGCAAGAAAATAAAGAAAATCCAAATAAATACGACCCCCAAAAGATCCACTTTCACAGGTCTGCTTTCTTACTAGATATACTAAATAAAATGTATGCCTAGTCCGTGATCAAAACAAGTTCAATCGATCCGGAATGTGGTCCTCTAACATAGCCTCTCTGTTGAAGGTGACTCTTTATCAAGCAGCCTCTAAACCCAATAATGGATTTCCCCAGCTATTCTTAGGAACGAATCGATGTATTTTAGAATATTTCATCTCCTTGTCTTGGTAAATGTTGGTCTGATTCCTGCCCGTAAACATCCAAACTCAAAGCCCGCACCGAACCTCAGAAAAGCCCCCCCCCCCCGCCCCGGTTGTCACAAAGCTAACCTATTTCCCCGGCCTCCACCTCAGAAGCTAAGAGCAGGACTGTAGCCCTCGGTGGGAGAAAGTTCCTCCCTCTGGGCCCAGCGAAGGCACATTGTTGGCGCCACCGAAGCGGGTCTGGGCAGCCCCCGCCCCCGACCAAACCGGCCCGGGGACGTCCTCGGCACAAAAGCCCCGAACCGGGCCCACCGCCCCGCGGGTGGGGCCTAGGGGCCTCGACCCAGTCCCGGGGCCTGGGACTCGCGGGAGCGGAGAGGGTGCCAGTCGGGGCCCGAAACCAGGCCCGGTCCGCCGCGGCCCTCGTGGCTCCCGGCTGGAGGCGGCCGCGCCCCCGCCACCCCCGCGAACAGACGCGAAAAGTGCGCGGCGAAGAAAGAAAGTCGGGCGGGCTCGCGGGCGGCGCGCGAGGCCCGGCGGAAGCAGGCCCGGCCGGCGGGGTTACCTGGGATCTGCTCAGCGCCGCTCCGGGGGTGCCGGGGCTCATCGCCGGGTGGTTCCTTTGTTGCGCAGCCGCCCAGGCCGGGCTGGCGGCGGCGTACTGGGCGCCCAAGTCCTTGCCCAAGCCCATGCCCGCGGCCGCCTGCTGGCCGCCCGCCGCCGCC